GCAGGTCTCCGAGTGGAGACGAGGCACTGAGGCAGTTCCGCCCACAGCTCTCGCCTCGGGTCTGACTTCTAAACGCCCAATTATCCTTAAGTGCATCCGATCGACCGTGGTGACTGGTCCCAGGCATCTGTCGATAACACTGTGCCTGCAGCTCCTGCTTCATCCGATGGCCTCCTTAGGGCTAATTGCTCTGGCATTTGGTCTGACGGGGACAGGAACAGCCTGATCCTGCCGCGTGTCAGGGCGTCTTGGTTCTCTTTCCAGCTTGGGGAGGGGGGGAGCTGGGAAGGGGGGCTCCATAGACATGGAGAAAAGGCTCTGCCTCACCAGGCCTGACTGGTCCCATGCCAAGTTCTGGGAGGAAGGAGGACACAGACTAACTGTCCCCTGTGTCTCAGCTTATACCCCAGCAGCACCTGGGACAGTCCTTGGCAGCATGAGGTCCTGAGGAACCCCAAATCCCAGATAGGTCCCCACTACCTCTCAGGACATGTGTGTCGGTCAGTGACCATGCAGACCTGTGTCTGCCCCCCAGCTGGTGCCCTGGGGGGCTACAGAGAGAGCTTTAGGGGAGACCAGTCATGGTGAGCAGTGTGCATTTATGTCTGTGTGCATACATGTGTGTGTGTTTGTGTGTGTCTGTCTGCATGTGTGTGCTTATCTGTGTGGATATGTATGTGCCTGTCTGTGTGAGGGCCTTAGATGCATGTGTCTCTGTGTGAATGTGTGTTTGTGTGAGTTCATGTGTCTTTCTGTCATGTGTGCATGTGTGTTTGCCTGTTTGTGTGTTTACACACATGTGTGCACCTGAATGTGTTTCCCTGAGTACACTGTGTGCCTGTCTGTGTGTACATGTGTTTGTGTGTGCTCCTGTCTGTATATGTGTGCCTGTTTCTCTGTTTATATGTATGTGTGCCTGTCTGTGTGCATGTGTACATGTGTGCCTATCTGTATGTGTATATGCATTTATGTGCACCTGTCTGCATATGTGTGTGCCTGTCTGAATGCGTGTGTACCTTGTGTTCATGTGTGTCTATGTGTACACGTGCATTTGTGAGTGTTCACGTGTATCTGTGTTGCACAGACATGTGTACTTACCCAGGCTCTTGTAAAAGGACACGAGCACTGCTGGGTGACAAAGCCCTTCTTCACCCTGTGTAAACACGAGTTCTTCTTGCAGCCAGGACAGGGAGGAGGGCTGCTGACCCCACTGACCTATGAGCCTGCCACAATTTGTCACAGCAGAGACATGGGCCAGTGTCCCTCTGGAAGGACTGGCCAGGTGACTCAAGCAAAGCGCCTCCCTGGGCCCCTTGGTGGGCCTGGGCCTGGGGAGGCACTGAGAGGGTCAGGTTGCAGACAGGGATAGTGGGGGCTTCCTGGCCGGGCAGCCTCCTACCAGTCCCGCAAGCAGAGCAGCCACAAAGCCAGGCTGAGTCCAGTGCCCTGCCCTGCCCCACGCGGAGAACTGGTACAGACGCCGGGGAGTGGGCGCGTGTCATTATGAGCTGTTAAGCCTCCCGCAGAAAGAGGCCACGAGAGAGAAAGCGCTCCGCTTGCTGGAGCACCTCAATACCCCTTGATTGCCGAGGTAACTGGCAGGCGTCTGTGAGGGGCAGAGGCTTCAGCTTGGGGTCTGAGGGCTCTGCGAAGTGGGTGCTGACTTAGCTCCCCCTTTGTCCCTCATAGAGCCCAGAGCAGGTGAGGGGACAGCAGGAGACACTCAGACTGCACAAGTGCCCACCACCCTGGCTTGTGTGCCTCAGTGCTCTCCTTTCGTGCCCAGCGTTTTGTCCTGTCCACCCCATCCCATGGGGTGATGCCAGCCACTGTCCTCCCCAGGGGACCCTGTGTTCTCTTGAGGCCTGACTTTGGCTCCCAAGGAGCCCCTTCCCAACCTTGCCCTTCCTTCGGAGTCCCCACCATTCCTAGGCAAGGCACTGGTCACTGGAGTCTAGGACATCCTTCCTCTTGCAGTCTGGGATCCTGAGCCCAGCCCCTAGGGATGACCGCCACAGCCCCTGGGGATGACCGCCACGGCTCTTGAAGACAAGGTCTGGGGAACTGGGGTCGTGGGCACGTGATCCAGAGAGACAGCATGGGCCTCAGTGCTTTTGTCTATAGAATGGGTCTATCTGTAGGCTGGTGAGTCAGGCCATCCCCCAAGGGCTCCAGTACTGGCCATAATAGAGGAGAGACTCTCCCTGGGATGTGCTGATTGCTGACCACAGCCCGTTTGGCCTTTGGGAGGGTCTTTGGAGAGAGGCAGAGTCAAGAGGAGGAGGGGCACCTGGCACGGAGCATAGCTTGGGCTGGGAGGGTAAGTGTGCTGACCAGGCAGCCGACTTCAGTGGCTTCCAGGAAACTCTCGGCATGAGAGTGGGGACAGGTTTAGAGAGTTGGATGCCCTTCTGTGGCCACAGGGGCCTTAGACTTGGATGCAGCTTGGTAGCCAGTCCTGGAGAGGCAGGTGTGTAGGGAAGGCATCCCAGGGTAGAATGGGCAGCAGACAGGTGCCTGGATGGGCTGTGAGAATGACTGTGAACAGGGGCAGGAGGCTGAGGTGATGATAGGTCTCCCAAGGGCATGCAGGGGCCTCCTGCTGTCAGCCCTGGCCTGGGTGCTAGGTGTGGGTGCCTGGGCCCAGGGAAGGGTTTAGAGAATGTAACTCCCCAACATCACTCCCACATAGCTTCTGTGCCAGTGCGCCCAGCCTAGGCAGGGAAAAGCATTAAAAAGCAATATTTATGTCAGCGAGACATTTGCTAAAAGGTTAAACCCACATCTGCAGGGCTGCTGGTGATCCTCCCGCATGGTGTTTGTTCAGTGTGCCCCCTCCCGCTCTGCATCACTGAGCAAATGCCTGGCTGGTGCAGCCGGTGCCTTGCTGAGGGATCCCCAGCAGCCCACACTGGAGGCTTTGCAGGGAGCAGGGAGCTTGTCCAGAGGCTTAACAGGCCTGGGTTCTGGGTGTGGAGGCTGGGTCTCCCTGGGGTCCACTGGGGCTGGTGCCCAAGTACACAGATCTTGGCTGACTGAGGTGCAATTGGCCCTCCCAGCTCAAGGTGGCCACTCCTAGCACATATCCTAGTCCCACTCTGGGCTGTACCCCAGAACACCTGATCTTTTGGACAAGTCTAGGAGGTGATACTGGCCAGGGTTGTTGCTGGGCAACCAGAGGCAGGAGTGAGCCAAGCCTGAAAGGTTCCTGCCACCCCTTGCCCCCACCCAGGAAGTGTGTAGAGAGGAGCAAAGAGACAGAGGGGAGCAGAGGAGGGAGAAGCTGGTAACATGACAGTGCAGAGTAAATGGCCGCTGAACGGAACTGGGTTTTGTGGGGCATGTAGGAGTACACCCAGAGAAGGTGGGTGAGGAGTAGCATTCCAATCTGGGTACCGCAGAGCCCCAAACCTTCCTGGAGCAGGAGTGGGAGTCAGGGGGTGAGAGGATCAGCAGGGGCATCTTTCCTGTTTATTGACTGAGCATTCAGGCTGCTTCTAGAGGGCAATGGGGAGCCAGTGAGGATTGTGGAACAAACGTGAAGTATGTGGTGAATTCCTATGGGGAGAAGTCCCAGGACCTTTGTTTGTCAAAGACAGCATTAGGAAGGGAGGAGGCCGGCAACTGTGGCGAACAGAGCGAGCAGTTTCTGAGGGAGCTGAGTGATGCCTGGGAAGTGGACCAAGGCCACATGGTGGCCAGCCAGGTGTGGAGCTGTGGATGGGGAAGGGGGAGTTCAGGGCCAATGGCTCCTTCTGTGTCCAGCATGGGGGCACCAGTGCTCTCAGGGTGAGGGCTTCCCTCTCTCTAATCTGCTGTTTTCAAGTGGGCTCTGGCCCTTGCCACTGCTACTAATCCCACAATGTCCACAGGACAAGGGACACCCGCTTCAGGTCTCTTTAGTGAGAGTGGGCACCTTACCCCAAAGGGCCTGAGCAGCTTCCTGGAGCCATCCGCACACCATTGCCCAAAACTATACTCTGCAGAAGGGACCAACTTCTGGGGAGGTGGGCTGGCTGAGTGGGACTTGCCTGCTGTCCCCTCCTTGGTTTCCTTGGAGACCCCAGAGTGAACACTGGCCCCTGGCTGGGAAGACGGTGCAGTAAGTCTTTGTGCATCTGGGGGTGGCAGCAGCTGGGAGAGGTGGGCAACAGATTGCTGGTCAAGGGCTCTCAGGCAGTCATGGGAAAGCTGCTCACCTGAGGGTACTCTTGACCCCTTGCCCAGGGGCCAGCTGGAGACAGGGAAGCAGCTTGTAGGGGGTTCTCTGAGGGGTGAAGGAAGCCCGGGACCCTCAAGGCTAAGGGAGAGGCATGCCCCAGGGAGGAGTGGTCAGAAGGCCCCAGAAGACCGGAGGCAAGAGGCCATGGGGTAGGCAGTTTCTTGGGTCTCTGTGGACACCCTGGAAAGGACTGAAAGGAGAGGGGTAAGGACTTGAAGAAACAAGTAAGACTTTTCCTGGAGACACACTACAGGGACAGGTCCTTCTGGAACACTGTGCATCACAGGACCTGCCTGAGAATCCAGCACGAGGGCCAGGGTGGCGGGCAGCTAGCACACTTAATTTCCCTTGTGGATATGGGTATACCCTGGGAAGGAATTTGGCGGAGATGGTGTGGGAAAGTCAGAGGACAGCCTGCTGCCCTCTTGGTGGGGCGGAGCCGGGGATAGGAGGAGGGAAGGGGGTCTCTGAGCTCACTTGCCACAAATATGCAGGTTTTTGTGAACATGCACCCATGGGGAGCCCAGCATAGCCCCTCCCACACACCCCAGGTTAGGCTGAGGGCTCCACCCTCTGTCCCCTGCCCCGCACAGCCTGATCCAGCCCCTGGTCCTCACGCCGCGGGGCTGAGCGTGATTCAGAGGCAGGTGCCTGTGACAGAGGATGCAATTAGATCTAATGGGACGGAGCCCTTTCTCTGTCGCCCTTGCTTGTGCCCACCCCCGCCTCCCTCAGGCACAGCAGGCAGGGAGAGGAGGCTTGGGAGGTGGGAGGTGGGGGACCCAGAGGGGCTTTGACGTCAGCTCAGCCTTTAAGAGGCCGCCTGGCGAGGGCTGTGGAGAAGCAGCTCCAGACTACCACGCGGAGTCATGCCTACCCCCAGTGCTGCCTCACCACAGCCCAAGGGCTTCAGAAGGGCTGTCTCAGAGCTGGATGCCAAGCAGGCTGAGGCCATCATGGTAAGAGGGGCATTCTAGCACCCAGGGGTAAGCTGGAGAAGCTGCTGTCCCCATGGGCTGGAGGGCAGGCTCAGGCTGGGGAGTCCACCAGGAGTTCAGGACCCCAGTTGGTGTGATTTCTGGCCCTGGGATCGGTGTGGGTCCTGGCCCTGGTGTACATTTCCCTGTGCCCTGGCAAGTGTTGTGCTGTGTCCTGCTGGACTCTGGGTGTGAGAGATGGTGTCTGTCCTCCATACCAGCCTCTCTGGGCTTGTGTGGGCCTCTGTGTGTCCTGTTTTGTGAACCCAGGAAAAAACTCCCCTTGGGGGTCTTGGAAGGGAGACCCAGGGTCAAGACTGTCTGTGGCTATGAACAGGCAGAGACCCCGCCCACCTGCTGCCACCACCTGCCTTCTCTGCCCACCTGCCCTGTCAGCAGGTCAATGGTTTCCTGCCTGGAGAGGGAGCTGCTGGCCCTTCCCAGCCCTGGCTGCTGCTCATGGCAGGGGTCCTGGCAAATGGGACCCAGACCCAGGTTCCATGGCCCTAGACCTTAGGCCTGGCTCTGATTCCTTCCCCTCCTACCCCTCCCCCCTTCTGTTGTAGCTGTTGCCTGCGGGCTCAGCATATGTGAGCCCCAAGGACAACGGTGCCAGGGCAGAATTCTGACCTGCCCTCTGCCAGACTGGACAATTGGGACTCTTCAGGAACCAGCACAATCCGCTCTGAGCACATTTAAAGACCTTAATGAAAACAGGGTGTGACCTGCAGAAATTTAATTTCCAGGCTTTTCTCAGGGGATGACTGTGGGGTGCAGAGTGCCCTCTTCAGGATCCTAGTCAGATGACACACCCTAGGGCCACCTTCGGCCACCCAGCCTTGTGGCTCATGCCAGGCTGACGCCACAGCCCTGGCTGGGTCCAACAACACCCATCCTGAGGTCAGGAGGAGGATGCTGAAGGGCTCCTTCACCCCTTATTGCAAAGACCCCAGAAGCCCAAGGAGGAACCCGTTCTCTCTTATCTGGGACCCAGAAACTCTTTGGAAGTTTAGCCCCAAGTCACGAGCCCAGGCTCCTCTTGTTCCAGGCCTGGGAAGGTCTGGGTGTTAGGGGGCCAGAGATATTGGGATCGCATAGACACGGGCCAGCAGTGGTTGTACAGAGGTGACCTGTGCCCAGTGCTCTGATGATGGCCGAGGACAATGAGGGAGCCAGCAAGAGGGTGGCAGGCCTGCAGAAAGGGACAGGGTGGCAGGAGGACTTTTGATAGGGAAGACTCCAGGGTAAAGACACAGTGTGGACAGGGCACCAGGAAGAGAGCCACCTGTGCCTCTGGAGGTGTGGGGAAAGGCCTCAGCCCCATGTCTCTCCAGGAAGGCCAGGAGGAAGAGGATATTACTGTGATGTAGTAGGGTGGCTCCTGCCTGAGCCATCTGCCTGCCCTCCTGGTGCTCTGCTGTCCTGGGGCTCTGGCCACCTGAGTCACCCTTCTCCCATCACTAATCTAGTTAGGGCCAGGTCTAGGGACAGGTGACCCAGCATCTCTGTCTCAAGAGGCTGGTGGCCAAGCGCCCTTCCCTCAGCTCTGCCATGGCTTCCAGCATCATCGGGCCTGGCCCCCCAGCCCTCTGTGTCAGGATGGGCAAGCAGTGGGGTCAGTCACCTGAGTTCGGTCCTAACCCTGCAGGCACACAGAAGGTGTTCAACAGTGTGCTTACTTCTCCTGCCCCCCGCCCCCCTCCACCCCCGCCGAGGGGGCGCACTGAGCAGCCTGATCAGGGCCCAGGCCCCAAGGGCGCGGTGAGCAGGGGCTGGAGGACAGTGGAGCTGCAAGTGTGTCCCTGTTCCTGTAGTCCCCACGGTTCATCGGACGAAGGCAGAGCCTCATCGAGGATGCTCGAAAGGAGCGGGAGGCAGCGGCGGCTGCAGCAGCAGCAGCTGCTGTGACCTCCTCAGAGCCTGGGGACCCCCTGGAGGCTGTGGTGTTTGAGGAGAAGGATGGGAAAGCTGTACTCAACCTGCTCTTCTCTCTGAGGGCCACCAAGTCCTCCTTGCTCTCACGGGCCGTGAAGGTGTTTGAGGTAAGGCACATGAGCTTCGGATCCCCGGGGCAAGCAGGCGCTATCCTTGCATGGACAGTGGGTCTGTGCACCCTGCAGGACAGAGCATGGCTTCCAGACAGCTAAGGGCCATCTGCAGCCTTAGTGGTGCCCGTGGCACCTTCTCCATCCCCCCAGCTCCTGCACACCCCTTACCTGACACGCGGCCTGGGATGAGGGGGACTCCCAGCAGGGCAGTCTGAAGAAGCCACATGTTCCCCCACCCACCCACCCCTAAGGGCCGGTGGCTAAGGTGGCAGCTGATTGCATTACTGCTCTGGCTGGTGACCTGGCTCCCGGAAGAAAGTCCCAAATGACATTACAGCCAGACTCCTGGCTATCTCCAAGACAAGCTGCATGGCCCAAGGGCCTTGTTGCTGGGTAACAGGAGGTGGAGGTAGAATGGACTCTGCCCATCAGTCCCTAGATGCCCAGTGGTCACTCTGTCAGGGCCTGTGTCCTCAAAACAGTAGGGTCCGGGGCCAAGCGGACACAAGGAGGCCATCAGGGAGGTGGAGCCTCCCACCAGCAGGGTAGTCAGGCTGTCTGGCATGGCCTCAGGACACGCAGACATGTATCCAGACAGGGGATCAAGGGCACATAGCTGGGGCAGCTACTGGGCGGACGTATGAGATGAAATTCAGCTTGCCAGAGGCAGTCCTGAGCAGGTGGCCAGAGTCTGGCATGAAGCTGGAAAACAATCTCGTGTGTCACACCGCAAAAGCCAAGAGCAGGACCAGGCAAGCTGACCAGGCCTTCTGCCTCCATCTTGCTCCTTCCCATTGCTCCTGCATCTCCATCTGTCTGTCCATTCTTCTCTCCTTCTGCCTCTCCATCTCTGTTTCTCTCCTTGTCTTCACTCTCTGCTTTTGTTCCCAAAGACATTTGAAGCCAAAATTCACCACCTGGAGACCCGGCCGGCCCAGAGGCCTCGGGAGGGGGGTCCCCACCTGGAGTACTTCGTGCGCTTCGAGGTGCCCAGCGGGGACCTGGCCGCCCTGCTCAGCTCCGTGCGCCGTGTGTCAGACGATGTGCGCAGTGCCAGGGAGGACAAGGGTGAGTCTGGTTTTCTGTCCTTGAATGCAACTGCATGACCTTGAGGCATGGGGGGAAGAGGTTCCTGCAGGGGAGCACACAGTGTCCACACAGTGGAGCCCTACTGGTTCCACCCTTCTTCCAGTTCATTTCCATATCCACATCCAGTCTGGGACCACCTGCAGGGACCTCTGCATGTCACAGCCCCAGCAGCTTCTGTACCCTCAGGGGGTCCTCAGGGGAGGCTGTGTCCCGGATGAGGGAGGTCACCCACAGGACCATGCTCACTCAAGCCCTTTTGCCTCTGTCCTCTGTGAAGTCCCCTGGTTCCCAAGGAAAGTATCAGAGTTGGACAAATGTCACCACCTGGTCACCAAGTTTGACCCTGACCTGGACTTGGACCATCCGGTGAGCCTGTAATTCCAACGTCTCCTGTCCTGACTGTCCTATATTCACGGGCATTGGGGGTGGGCATGGCCCAGGGCTGATCCTGGACAGGTCTGTGTGATTCCTCCTGACTGGCACATGTCCCTCATCACCAGGGCTTCTCGGACCAGGTGTACCGCCAGCGTCGGAAGCTGATCGCTGAGATTGCCTTCCAATATAAGCAGTAAGGGGCCTGAGGCCTCGCACTGGCCCGAGGAGGGTGGGGTGGCAGGAAAGGAGAGGGCAGGGGCCATCTTTGCTGCCCACATCGTCACTTTACCGTGACTGTGGCTGGCCACTTGGACTCCGGTCTCTGTTCTAAGGCTTTGTGTATATCAACTTGACTGTCCCCTTCATGATACTCTAAGGTGAACACTGGCATTACCCCAAGTCACAGCTGAGGAAACTGAGGCACAGAGGCTAAAGCAGCCTGTGCAGGGCACAGTCAGCCCTGAGCTCACCTCTCTGCTCCCCCCCCAAAGCCCTCTCTGCACACAGCTGGCGTGTTCTATGCCAAGTGGGCCCCTCTCTCTTGCTCTTCCCTGTCCCTGGGGTGGGGGTTGCGATTGACCGCTGACCTCTTCACAGGGGTGAACCGATTCCCCACGTGGAGTACACAGTGGAGGAGATTGCCACCTGGTGAGGTCCCCATGACAGCCACCTGGGGTAGGGCAGAGCAGGGCAGGGCATGAGGCGGGCCAGGGAGGAGACAGCTCCCAGAATCTGTGTGAGGGTCACCTCCAGAGACATTGGTGCAGGATGGGAGACCAAGGCCAGGTGGAGGAGGGACCTCCTGAGGTCCAGAATATCAGGTCCTTCCCCAGGGACATCCCTACTGCGACTAAAATCACCACCAGCCACACTCCCAGTCCGTGGAGGAGCACGGCCGTGAGAGGAGTGGGAGGCTGTGGGGAGTGGGCAGGGCACCCACGGGAGTGGGTACAGGCAAGACAGCCCTGAGAAGAAGCAGTTTCTTGAGCCCCTCCGCCTGTAGGAAAGAGGTCTACACCACGCTGAAGGGTCTGTACGCCACTCATGCCTGCCGGGAGCACCTAGAGGCTTTCCGGCTATTGGAGCGCTTCTGCGGCTACCGGGAGGACGCCATCCCACAGCTGGAGGACGTGTCACGTTTCCTGAAGGGTACGGGATGGAGGACAGTACTGGGCAGGGAGGAGTCATAAGAAGATGCCTGGCACCCTGCCCAGCCACCCACTCACCTCTCCCGGTCCTGACCCATGGCCCCTTGCAGAGCGGACAGGTTTCCAGCTGCGGCCTGTGGCCGGCCTGCTGTCTGCCCGGGACTTCCTGGCCAGCCTGGCCTTCCGCGTGTTCCAGTGCACACAGTACATCCGCCATGCCTCCTCACCCATGCACTCTCCTGAACCGTGAGTGTGCCACCTACAACCAGGGGACAGCTTGTGTCACCTAGCCCACTACAATGGGGGCAGAGGCATGGAAAGGCAGAGGCCTCCTTGGCCAGGCCCTCCTTGTTGCTGCCCCGGGTGGAGGATAGAGGGAGGGTGGCACTTGCTGCCCAGCTCCAGCTGGCTTCTCTTCACTCCTGGCCTCCCACAGGGACTGTTGCCATGAACTGCTGGGGCACGTGCCCATGCTGGCAGACCGGACATTTGCCCAATTCTCCCAGGTGTGTCTGGGGCCTCGGGCCAGGAACTGGAGAGACTTGGCCAGGGCAGGGGCTGGTGGGGGTGGACACACCAGTGGTGCATGCTGTCTACCCTGGGGCTTGTCCCCCAGGATGGACAGTGCCCCTGTGGGCCTGTGAGACTTCAAGGTGATGGCACGCCAGAGGAGAGGTGGCTGAGCCAATGTGCAGACCACCCCTCCAAAACAAGGAAGCAGAGCCCTTTCCCTGGAGAGTGTCTCGGGGGAGAGGAGTTCCCACGGCCTGTGCTGCCACCTCCTGGCCCACATGGGAACAGTGGATCCTGGGCAGTGTCAGGGACCTCAACCTTGAGCACAGTGCCAAGACTGATTTTCTCCAGCCTTCAGTTTCTTCCTCCACCCACAGGACATTGGCCTTGCATCCCTGGGGGTCTCGGATGAGGAAATTGAGAAACTGTCCACGGTGAGTTTCTTCTGTAGGGCCCTGGGTGGGGGGGGGCTCAGGACCCAACTTCAGCCCAGGTCCTGCCTCCATCCTTGTCTTGCTGCCAGGCCTAGCCTGCCTATTCAGGTAGTGCCCTGGCCACAGCAAAGAGGCTGCCTACTGGGCAACAGCTGCCTCCTGGTCAACGTGCCTGACTGTCTGGACAGGTGTACTGGTTCACTGTTGAGTTTGGGCTGTGCAAACAAAATGGGGAGCTGAAGGCCTATGGTGCAGGGCTGCTGTCTTCCTACGGCGAGCTCCTGGTAAGACCCTCCCCGATCCCAGCCTCCAACACAAGGGGACCGGGGTCTGGAGGAACCAGGCTTCCAGCAGGAGGGACTCATGGGCTGGGACCCTAGATTCAGGCCCTCTTTGGGAGCCCAGTCTCCACTTAGCTCTGTCCCCAGGCCTCCACGGGACCCTTGCGGGAGGAAAGGGCACTCCCTACACACCACAGCACCCAGTTCCCTTGAGTGATTTTGTGGCCTTCCCAGCACTCCCTGTCAGAAGAGCCGGAGATCCGGGCCTTTGACCCTGACACAGCCGCTGTGCAGCCGTACCAAGACCAGACCTACCAGCCGGTCTACTTCGTGTCTGAGAGCTTCAGCGATGCTAAGGACAAACTCAGGTGGGCTAGGGCTTCTGAGGATGAGATTCCCCACACCCATCCCCAAGCCATGCAAGCCAAACCTCATCACCACTTGTGAGCAGGCTTAGCTGTGAACTCATTTCACAGAGAACACTGACCTCAGCTACAATGTCCCCCTCACAGCAGGCACACCCTCCCCAGAAGGACCACCAGGCAGTCTGAGGAGGAGACCTTCGGGGCTGTGGCTGCTGTGTGTGGGGTCAAGGCCAGGTTGAGGCCAGCCTTCTGAGTGCTGGCAGAGCCTGAGCTTTGTAGGGACTTGAGGGGCCTTTCCTAGCCCCCGGCTTTCTGAGGAGTGGGGTACTGTATGAGATGGGAACGGGTCAGGAAGGACCAGAGGGGCAGGGGTAACTGAGGGTTATGGGTGGGAGCATGGGGTCATGGAAGTGTGAGTTCCCAAGGCTGCAATGTCCAGCCAGATCCCAGGGACAGGAGCAGAGGCTGACAGGTTCATCCTGGTGAAGGCTCTTGTTGCTTCCCCTCCAGCCCTGTTGAGCACTGGGGAAACTGAGGCCAGGGGCTGCACCCAGCAGGTAGGGGAAGTTTAGCTCTAGACACAAGCTTGGGGACTGTCCAGGACATGGTCAAGGAAGGCTTCCTGGGGGAGGAGGACCAGCTGAGGAATGAGGCACCTGGCCAAGCCCAGCTTGAAGAAAGTGCTAGGCTTTTGTCCCTCGCCGCAGCTCTGAAGAAGGTTCAGTGGCTGTCTGTCCAGGAGGCTGGACAGAATGAGCTTGGGGGCTCAAGTGGCTTATAAAAGTGCCCCCTCATACTCCTGGAGGCTTCAGACCCTGCCCCCAGCTTGCTGGCCCTTCCCTGCCTCCTCCACAACCCCACCCGCTGAGTCCCCACTGCACTGGTTTCCCTCCACAGAAGCTATGCCTCACGGATCCAGCGCCCCTTCTCTGTGAAATTTGACCCATACACGCTAGCCATCGATGTGCTGGACAGTCCCCATGCTATCCAGCACTCCCTGGAGGGCGTCCAGGATGAGCTGCACACCCTGGCCCAGGCGCTAAGTGCCATGGGATAGGTGCACAGGCGTCCGTCCCCTGCTGTGGTCCAGGGTCTTGCCTTAGAGCCTTCAAGCCCTTCCCCAGCCTCCCTTGGCCCCTGCTCTGTCCCAGAGCTCAGACCCATAAGGGGCTGGGCCATGGTCCTCAGAGCCCTCCTGGGACAGGATGCCCTCCCACCCATGCTGCCCCTGGTCCCCCACTGACTCTCCTGCGCTTCTCAGCACCATGGCTGGTGTGTGTGTACCTGTGAGTCCTGTCCTGCCGCATGCGCTCCAGGGTCCCGAGTGGCCCTGCACTGCCCAACGCCATGCCTCTGTACTGTCAGCCTCCCTGTGTAACATTTCAATAAAGGAAAGAAAGGTCTCTGATTGCCTGCCTGGCCTCTGGGTCTCCACAGAGATGGCCTAGCCTGCCCAGCCTTGCTTGGAGGTCCCCCCACCTCCCTCTCCTCCCTGGCCAGGATCAGCCTCCCTGGGCACCCCAGATCAGACAGGAAACTGCAGGCCTCATTTCCCTCCCCTCCTGGAGAACTCTGTCAGCTTGCAGGAGGGCTCCCCAGGCCAGGCAGGAGGCAGGGGGTCACCATGGTACTAACTAGAGATGGTTCCCAACACAGGACTGAAAATCAAGCCCTTCCCTGTGCCTAAGGTCCTGGCCCCTAAGAGAGGGATGGAGGGAGGGGGCAAGACACAGCCACTCTGGTCCCTTCATCTCGTTGCACCAAATAGGACCCCAGAGCCAAGAGGAGTCTCCATGTGCTTCCCTGAAGTGTGGGCTGAAGGAAGGAGCTCGGCTAGGCTAGTTTCCAGGCAAGTCTCCAGGCCTCTGTCTCCAGAAAATGCAGGCAGGGAGTAGGTTATGGGCTCTAAGAAGCCCCCCAGATTCACAAGGGCCTGGCTGCCTTGCAGCTACAGCCTCAACTTCCTTCAGGCCAGGTCAGCCATCCCTCCTTCCCACGCTGCTTCTGGCCTTGCAGGGAACAGGCCAGGATTCCTGCACAGTGGCAAAGAGACCAGTCAGAGCCCTGGAGGCCTTTCCCTCAATCCTCTTCTGTCCTCCATCCACTGCAGCTCTGTCACCTTCTTTGTCCCTAGCTCATCAACTTTGATAACCCCTGCAACCCTGGAGTCAAACAGAACCATTCGTGAAGTGCTGGAGCTGGGAAAGAACTTAGGCCCCAGTGAGACCCAGGGAAGATCTGAGCCACACAGAGACCCCAGGGGAGGCCCTAAGTCACACTGAGATCCTGGGGAAGACCCTGAGCTACACTGAGAACCCTGGGAAGACCCAAGTCAAACTGAGACCCTCGGGAAGACTCTTGGCCACACAGACAACCTGGAGTAGACCCTGAGTGACACAGAAACTCCAGGAAAGGCCCAGACCCAGGGAATGTCCTAAGGCATACTGACACCCTGGGTAGGCTCAGAGCCATCCACACTGAGACCTGGGAAAGACCCTAAGACTGACTCCTGGGAAGAATGACAGTCACACTGAGATCCCAGGGACAACCCTGAGCCACACTGACACCCCAGGGAAAACCACGTTCTCCCCAGGAAGACCTTGAGATACAACGAGACCCTGAGGAAGGACTAGATCCACACTGAAAACCTAGGGAAGTCTCTGAGCCACACTGAGACCCCAGGAAAGACTCCCAGATACACTGAGACCCCTGGGAAGTCCTTCAGTCACACCGAGATCCCAAAGATGACAGTGAGGCATACTGAGACCACAGGGAAGATTCTGGGCCTTCTGGGACCCAGCAAAGGCCCAGAGTCCTACTGAGACTCCAGGAATGACCCTGATCACACTAAGATGCCTGGGAAGAACCTGACATACTGAGGTCCCAGGAAGGGCTCTGAGCCACACTGGGATGGCAGGGAACAACCTGAGCTACTGACAACAAAGAGAAGAACCTGAATCACACCAAGAATCTCCAGAATATACCCTGAGACCCTGGGGAAGACCCTGTATCTCACAAAGAGCCCAGGAAGAACCTGAGCCACATTGAGACTCTGTTGAAGGCCCTAAGACACCCTGAGACCTCCAGGAAGACTGTTAGCTACCCTGAGTTCCCAGCGGGGACTCTTAGCCACACTGAAACCCCTGGGAAGACCTACACTGGGACCCTAGGGAAAGCACAGAACCTTTCTGAGACTCTGGGGTGAATCTTAAGCCCCACTGAGACCTCTGCAAACACCCCCAGCCACACTGAGATCCCAGGGATGACCCCGAGTCATACTGACACTCCAGGGAGTTCCCAGGGCACACAGAGACCCTAGGGAAACTCCTTGGCCACAGTGGGACTCCAGGAAAGACCCAAGTCATGCTGAGACCCTGGCTAAGACCCTTGGCCACACTGATACCCAGGGTAGCACCTGAGTCACATCAACACCCTAGGGAAGACACTGAGCTACACTGAGAACTCAGGGAAGACCCTAAGTCACACTAATAACCCAGAATATACCCTAAGACACACTGAGACACTAGGGAGACCCTGAGCTATACTGAGAACCCAAGGAAGACTCTGAGTCATATTGAGACCCTGGGGAAGACCTTATGCCTCACTAAGAACCCAGGAAATGCTCTGAGCCACACGGAGATGCTAGGAGGAACCTGACCATACCGAGATTCCAATGAAGACCCTGAGACACCCAGGAGATCCCTGGGAAGATACTCAGCCACACTGAGACCCCAGGGAAGACCTGAGTCACACTGGGACCCCAAAGAAAGTCCACAGCCCCATTGCGACCCCAGGGAAGACTCTGAGCCTTGGTGAGAACCCAGAGAAGATTCTTAGCTACATTGACTTCCTGGGGGACACCCAAGTCACACTGAGTCCCCAGGGAAGACCCTTAGTCACACTGAGACCCTGGGAAAGTCCCTGAGACACCCTGAGACCTAAGTGAAACCCTCCTGCCACACTGAAACCCTGGGGAAGGCTTTGAGGCATGCTGAGTCCCCAGGGAAGTCCCTGGGCCATGCTGAGACCCCAGGAAAGGCTTCCAGCTCACTGAGACCCCAGGGAATGTTCTAAGCCATACTGGCACACCAGGGAAGGCTCAGAACCACACTGAGATCCTGAGAAAGACTCTGTGTGCCACTGGGTCCCCAGAGAAAACCTTGAGTCCCACTGAGAACTGTGGAAGGCCACCAGGGAAGATCTCCAGCCACGCTGAGACTGCGGACAAGTCCCTAAGCTACACTGAATCCTCAGGGACGGCCCAGGGCCATGCTGAGACCCCAGCAAAGATATTAAATAGCATTGGTACCCATGGGACTTCACCTCGCCCACTGAGACTCTTGGAACATTGTTAGTCCCATGTGTGCCCCGGAAAGCCTTAAGGCACACTGAGACCTTGACAAAGGCCAGGGGCTTCTGAGGAAGGGTCTGAGCCCTTCTGTCGTTGGAGGGGTGTGGGAGTTCATTTAGAACCCTGCAAGAAAGCAGTGAGACCCTAGGCAAGGTCCTGAATCCCAAAGGCCTTAGGAAAAGTTGCAAGCCCAGGTGAGGAGTGCTGTGAGCCCTACTGACACCGTAGGGGAGGCTGTGAGCTCACTGAGTTTGCAAGGGAGGCTGGAGCCCTACTGACACCTGAGAAAGCTCTGAACCCATTCCAGAACACTGGAAAATATAAAGTGCTCTGACACCCTGCAGACTCAGAGAGGACTGCAGGTCACGGACACAGTGGAAAAGCCCTGACACCCCTCTGAGAGCTTGGGGAAGTCCCTGAGCCCTGCTGTAATCTCCCCAAGTCTATCATTCCCTTCAGGACTCTGGGAAGGCTGTGAACCTACTTAGAGCCCTGGGCAAGACTATAAGCCCCACTGAGACCCTGGGGAACCTCTGAGCCTCATTAGACTCCAAGAAGGTCACTAAACCCCATTCATGCCTGGGTTTATATGGTAACAGTGAGGTCCTGGTGAAGCCTGTGATCCTGGGGATGTCCCTGAACCCCTAAGCTAAGCTGTGATCCCTACAGAGACCCTGGGAGGCCTTAAGTCTAACATCCTGCAGTGCGCGCTGAGCCCTTGGGAGATGCTCAGAAGAGTCCCTCATGTCACCGAGACTGTAGCGATGGCCTGAGTTCCTTTAGGATCTAGGGAGAACCAGGCACTGTGGCCACAGCTGAACAGCATTTGAGAGGCTGAGGCAGGAATTCCAGGTCAGCCTGGGGTTACATAGTAAGACCCTAGCTTAAAACCAAAAAACCAACATCCCAGGGAGGTTGTGACCCCGGCAAGACCTCAGGAGGGCCATGACCTTCACTGTGACCTTGGGGAAGGCTATAAGGTAGCAGGGTCTCACCTCCCTCCCACCTCACCTCCCTGAGGCCCCCTAGTGCGGTATCTTCCACCTTGGTCTTCCTGCTGAGAGGCCTCCCTTCCTGGGGGTGCCCACATGTTCCTGACTACATTATGGGGTCCTGCAGCACTGCAGTGGGGAGTGGAGAGCAAGGGCCCCCAACACAGCTCAGGCCCCATGGCTACAAAATCCTGCATAGAGTGGGGGCACCTAAGGCTGGGATAAGAGCAGGGTCTCTGCCCCTGAGTGTCCCAAGGCCCAAGCACCTGGACAGAGGGTCTTTACTGTCAGGATGAGGAGGAGGGATTGATGCTCAGGCAGGGGGGCAGGGACAGGAGGAGCACAGGCCTCCCAACCCTTCCAAGTAGAGGCTGGGGAGGGTCTCACAGCTGGAACTCCTTTGCCCAGGCACTATGCTAAGAGACAGGTGGAGGCAGTAGGCAGTGAGGGCTCCGAGGCATACGTCCCCTGGTAGAGACTGGCAGGGCCTCCAGGTGCCTGTCTTGGGGAGCCGGACACTGGATGGGATGTGCCATGGGCTCTCAGCCCAGGCCACCTTAAAGGGTGGGTGGGTGATGGGGCTGTGACCCTGACCTAAAGGGGTCTCCAGGATAAGGGGTAAGGGCTGACAAGGTGCCTGGATGTGGTGTGGTGCGGGGGTTCTTCTTCCCTCACATTGAAGATGGGAAATGAGTGCCACCCCGTCAAGAGTCACTCCATCAGGGGCCACCACGGCAAGGGCCACACTGTCATTTGTCTCTTGGTTCTGCCTTCTTTCTACCCCCGAGGGTGAGCTAGTGGGGGTCTCAGTTGGGGCTGAGGTCCTGTGGATGAGTAGTGCACAGGCAGCAAGGACAGGACAGTTCCCAGTCCCACAATGCTGGCTAGCCTTTGAGAATTGGAGACAGGGTCCCAGGGCTGGGGCACACAGTTCCCCCATCCCCACAGCTCTCCCTCTCCTGAACTAATGTGGAAAATGCTCAGTTGAGACCAGGGCGGGCTTTGTTCTCCTGCCGCAATCAGGGCCAGCCTGGACCGTCAGGTCCTTCATTAACACTCTAATGACCCCAGGGCCTGAACAGAGGTGCTGACGACCAAGGAGCTCTTCCTGCAGAGCCAGCACCTGGGAAATGATCCAGAAACTGCAACTTCAGTCCCCTGGCCATCTGCTGACCCCCCTGGAGCCCATAATGAGCCAGGCCAGCAGGGGCTAGGGATAGGGGAGGTGGACTCTGGGCTATAAAGCCAGAGGGGACCCAGCAGCTCCCAGCCCTGAGGGATCAGCTGCACTCCTGAGGTGGTCAGACAGCAGGTCTGTGCCCTCCACGCTGCCCGGCTGGGACTGCAGGGTCCTGGGGGAGGACACGGGCTCTTCTTTTGCTCTGGGAATCCTGGGATTGGGCACCTGCCCCTCAGCTTGCCTCAACTTCTGATCATCCTCCAGGTCATTGTCCCCCTACCATGGCCCTGTGGACACGTCTCCTGCCCCTGCTGGGCCTGCTGGCCCTCTGGGGGCCTGACCCTGCCCAGGCCTTCGTCAACCAGCACCTTTGTGGCTCCCACTTGGTGGAGGCACTTTACCTGGTGTGTGGGGAGCGTGGCTTTTTCTACACACCCAAGTCCCGCCGGGAGGTAGAGGACCCTCAGGGTAAGCACTTGCCACCCACTATCCCTGGCTGTCCTTGCCCCTGGAGCTCCCACAGTGCCAGGCACTGAATTCAGGGATGAATTTTATCATATAGATCACGTCCTGGGTGGTGGTGGTCTGGGGGAGGGGATACCCTAACCCACCTGCCTGCATGCCTGCTTGCCTGTGGGCACATACCCATAGGGCTCTGCGGAGGACACATGAACACAGTGGCTGGTGGGAGTGGGCAAGGGCCCTGCCTCCGAGACTCCTGGGCTGTGAGATTTAGAATGTGGGCAGGTCCCGGGTTGAGTACCAGTGGACACCTGTTCAGGCTTCCCATTGTACTGTCCTGAGACTAGGGGACAGTGGCAGAATATATGGGCTTTGTAGTCCCCTCTTTCTGTGTCCACTGGTCTACCCTCTGCATGGGCAGCCCCTGCTGCCTGGGCCCAGCCTGGGTGGGGACAGGATGAGAAGAAGAGTTTGACATGGGCGGATAGACACCCTGCTGCTCTGACTGGGCCATCTTGTGTCTCTCTGTCCCCTCGCTGCTGCTCTGATCCTCTCTGGCACCATCACCCCGGCAGTGGGGCAGATGGAGCTAGGTGGGGGTCCTGGGGTGGGTGGCCCGCAGTCCTTGGCACTGGAAGTGGCCCCACAGAAGCGTGGAATCGTGGACCAGTGCTGTACGAGCATCTGCTCCTTATACCAGCTGGAGAATTATTGCAACTAGACGCTCGCCTCCCTCTCCCTGCCATGAATAAACCCCGTCAATGAGCCCTGCTGAGTTGTCTGTGTGTGGGGGTAGTGGAGACTGGCCAGGGGAGGGTACGTGCTGGCCCACCTGCCTGGCCATGGCAGTCTTGGGGAACCTGCCTGAGAACCCCTTCCTGGTACTCTCTTCATCTCCTGCTTCCTCCTGGCCAGTTGGGTGTGCACACAGTCACCCACACTGGTCCAGTTCCAGGGCTTGGGCAATGGCTCTCCCAAAGTGTCCAGCACCTGTCAGCCACCCACAGCCTGTACACTGGGGTGCTAAAGGAGAACTAGGTCCTCCCACCTGCTGCTTGCAGCTGGAAGAGGAAGACTTTAGGCTCTTTGGGAAGCTGGGATGGGCAGCTAGTTGTTGACTCCTCCTTGCCCCATTGCACTGGGCCCTCAAGGCCCCAGCAGAACTTTGGGAGAAAAGAAGACTAAAACATTCTAGCAATTGCTCCCACCAGCCCTCTTCCCTGGTTGTTTCTAGAGTGATTTTGATGCAGTCCCTGTGGGGGTCAGAAGTTGGGCTGGCGATGGGTCCTGCAGGGCAAGGTGGAGAAGAGTTGAAAGGGTGCAGAGGTAGGACCTCCTAGTAGGACCCCTCTCTCAGGGCCATCCCAGTCCCTAGCCAGGGACTTCACTAGTTCCTTGGAGGAAGCAGGCCAGGACAAATGGCCCCCATGGGTGAGGAACAGAGTGAAGGACCCCTGTAGACACCAGGCAGAGGCCTTAGAGCCCCACTCTCAGGCCCTCTCCCCACTGTGAGGCCCTGTGAACACTGCTCAGGAGACTGTAAGGCTCCCTGCCACTCCTCGGCCTCTCCCTCCAGCCAGGAAGGGTCTCTTGCTAAAGTAGCCAGACACCTAGCAGTTCCCTTCCCCATCCTGAGTACACTCAGGGCCAAGGTCAAAGCCTTAGACTGGGCCCAGATTTGGGGGAGCCATGACAGGAACCCCCTCTCCAGTACCACGGGCACAGGCCTCTGTTAGATAACCAGTCTAAGTGCCACCTGTCGGGCAGATGAGATCCCAGTGGGTGCCAGGGCTGATCAGGGCCTGGAAGGTCAACGAGTGACCCTGGCCACCCCAAGACTTGGCCAGCCTGCCTGAAACCCAGGCCAAACCAATCCGTACCTGCCCTGAGGTCTACTCCCGGCTAGGGCTTGGGGTGACCAAACCTGGGCTGCACCTGGGCCTGGCAGCTGCAGACCACTAGAGGCCAGCCTCAAAGCAGAAAGCACAGACCCTCCCACAAGCCGCCTGGGCAGCCTCTGCCTGCAGTCTTGAGGACCACTTGCCTGTCACCCTCCTCCCTGTGACCACACCAGCACCCCCTCCTAGAGGAGATGTTGTGGGCCCCCAGCAAGCCCCGCCCCTGGAGTGGGGGCCAGACTGGGCAGGCGGATGGACGGCCGGACACTGGACCCGGAAGAGGAGGGGAGGAGGAGGCTGGGATCTGTCTATGGGAACACCCCGCAGGCCCGTTCGCACGGCTAGAGGCAGGGGCTCCCTGCTGGAGTTGAGGTATGTGAACCCCCACTGAGCAATGGCCAGGGCTGGGATAAGGAAATGGGCCAGCCAGGGTCTACTGGACCTGCAGACACCCATTGGCCACGGCGACCCAAGTCCTGGGGATGTTTCCTGCAGAGGGGTCATAAACTCTCTTGAGGGTCTGTGTGCTGGGGTAGAGGAAGGCCCTGGGGGTCTCAGACCTTGAGGGGTCAGACCAGCCTTGCAGGACCACCAGTGGGGTAGGACTGGTGGTGCTGGGGAACTCAGGAGTGTTGTTTCAGGGGCCAAATTTCCTGTGAGTTCACCCATGGGGGCCTCAGCAGGGTTGGGGAATGACATTGTCCACTCAAAAGAGACTCCGCTGTGCTGTGCAGCGCGCTTTCCCTTTCTGCAGCCTGTCCAGTCCTGGTGGCTGGACCCTCCTCCCTGCCCTTCCCACTCTGAGCACAGAGACAGGTCGGCAAGGCTTCTCTATCCCCACAATTCCCTGGGAGCAAATGAGAAGAGGCTGCTCAGGAAGCAGAGGCAGAATCAGGCCCAGTGTCCCAACAGGTGCCACCCAGATGTCCTGACTGGGGAGTGTGGGTCCCTAGAGACCCCAGTTCACCCACATAGGTGAGCGCACAGACCTGGCTCTACCATCCCCCTTCAGCCTCACTCCCCTGCTCCTCCCATTCTGGGAAGCCAAGGACATCTCTCCAGTGTCCCTGGAACTAGGCTTCACTGGCCCATACGGCTTTTAGTGATGGTCAGCTGGGTCCAGCCATGCTTGTCATCCTTGCGTTGTGGGCTGGAGAGTCCATCCAAGGGCTCCCCAGTTGGGGCAGTGGGGAGAGGATAAACAGCTGCTTCCCAAGGTCCCCTAACTTTGCTGGACCCTTGGCCCCCTTCTCAGCCTCTGCCTGGTCTCCAAGGGCAGCCCTGTCCTGTACAGTGGCCTGGTCTGATTAGGTCAGTTGCTCGATGCAGGGTGAGAACTCCTGTACCTGTGCTGCATGAGGGGAGACTGAGACTGGAGGTCAGGCCAGCTGGCATTCTGGTGCAGGCCACCCCCCCCGCCACCCAGAACACTGCTGCTGTGGCTGTCCCCAGGCCAGCTCCCTGAATTGCGTTGGCTCCTGGCACCATGAACTGGCACCTGAGGGCAGTATTTGCTTTCTCTTGTCAACAGTAAATATTTACTGTCCTCACTGTTCTCCGGGCCTGAGAAGACCCTGGGGGGCATGCAAGGTGGACACTGGGATGCTAAGGTCGACCCCTGTCCTTGAGTGCCAGTTGGGGGTCTGGCCCGAGGACAGGGAGCTAGCCCAGAACCACCCAGTTCTTAAGCCCTGCACACCTGGAAAAACCAGCCCTGGGCAGCACTCAGGCCGAACTCCGCTGGTCACCAGCCAGGTTAAGTGGAGGGAGATCCCTGGGGAGCCTGTGGCAGGCTCAGACGCAGTGGCCCAGCGTAGGTGGTTGTTTCAGGGTGGACACGGTGAATTCTGGACATGGCTAGGAGAGGCTATTCACAGATTCAGCCACCAGAGGGCACTAGAGCCTCACTTTTGTAGCACTCTAGGTCCAGCCTCAGCCTGGACCTTCTGGGGACTGCATTCGCTGGGGGCGCTCACGGGGGCTGAGGGGCTGCCCAACAGGCTGGCTTCCCTGGACTCCGGAGGGCATAAGGTTTGGGAAGGAGGGAAAGGGTCTGATGATTTGGGGGGGATGCGGTCCAAGCCCCACCAGCCCCAAGCCAACCTTGTGGGTCCAGGCTTCCCAGATGTCTGGGGAGCAGCTGGACAAATGTCCAGGTCTTCGAGGTTTTTAGAGTACCTCAAGCTAGAGTCTGAGCCCCCTCCCAGAATCACAGAGACCCTGAGGCGACTTTAGGGACTACTCCCTCTGGCCCCCCGTGTTATGGTTGAACAAACAGGCCAGGGGATCAGGCTGCTTGTGTACAGGTGGGAATTTGGCAGAGGGTCCCCAGGGCCCTGGGGAATTCTGTGGGCTGTGTGTCCCTGTAAGGCCATGCTCTGCTTGGAGGCCCCTTGGCCGTTCAAGTGGGAGGCTGAGCCTATTCCCACATGAAGCAGGGGCCACAGAGACCCAGGAGTGCAGGAGGCTTCATGGGGGTCCTGATAAGTCAGGGTTAGTCTTTTCCCATGTCCACCCTCAGCCCAGTGCTGAGAGGAGAGGGAGGTCAGCTGGGGTGGGTGGACAGGGGTCTGAGAGCCGAGGAGCAGCCAGGACACAGCGTCCCTCCCGATCCCTCCTGCTCCCCGCCGCGCTCCCTCCTAATATTGTTTCTGGCCTGGCCACAGAACAGCAAGTCGGATTCCTTCGAAAGTGGAGCCACAGAGGTGGCCTCCCCATCGTCCCTGTGTGGCCTGTCATGCTGTGCTGGCGCCAAGCACCCCACTGGCCTCCGGCCTGCCCCTCGCTGTCCTCTACTTGCTCCCCCACTCCCAGGTGGCCAGACGCCCCACTTCCTGCCTACCAGCTGGGGTCAGCAGGACCCTGTCCCTGACCCACAGAGCCTGAGACTGCTCTCTGGAAGCCAGGCCTGATCTGAGCTGTAAGGTCCCCCAGAAGCCCCACTCTCCAAGGCAGGGCAGAAGGGTCCTGGGGCACATGTGACCGGAAATCAAGTCAAAGTCAGCATCCCTCAGGCCAAGAGTCAACAGGGCCACGTCTGCCCGTTCTCTCGCCCATCTAGAGATCCTCAGTGTCTGGACCCAGGCAGCTGACCTCTGGACTAACGTCCCAGGCATTAGAGACTGAGACCAGCCCCAGGGGCCACACGCGGCTCCCACCACGTGGGTAGGATGGATGGCGGCTTTTCCCAGCTACACTTGGGAGGTCAGCCTCTATGCCACCCAGCCTGGAGGTCCATAGACCTCTGTGCTTCTGGGACGCCCCCCGCCCCACCACCTCCACATACACACACAGGCCGCAGAGTCTTTAAAGGAGGCAGCCGGCACCGAGCCACATTCCACCCAGGCCTCCCTCTGACCCTCCCAGCCCATCTGTGTTTGTGGAAAACAGAGCCAGGGGCCGGCAGCCCTGCCAGCTTATGGCCGTTCATGCTGAGACTCCAGGCACAGTCCTTTGCTCTTCAAAGACCATTCTCACATACAGCTCGGTCTTGTGCCAGCCTGGCCTCTGGCCCCCTCCATGTCTCCAAGGCCCACGCAGCTTGGGCTGCCTAGGAGGGTGGAAAATCCTCTATACTCTCTGGACATGGGATAGCAACACCCAGTGACCCCAGGCAGTGAGGGCCGGTCTGGGAGGAGGTGATGCAGGAGTCTGGTGGTTGTCAGGTATAACTCAGTCCATGCTCTGGTGATGGAGACTGAGCCTCCGAGGGCAGAGGACAGCTTCAGTGGGCAGGGGTGGAGCGGGTAAAGGACAGGTGCCCCAACCTCTGCCCAGATGTCAGAAAAGAAGGGTGAGGGGGCTGGCTCAGGTGAAGGGAGAG